TTATAATGTGGGTGGTAAGTATAGTGTTGTGTACCCATAATAATGACAGATGTAATCGTTTGCGTAAAACGTGTAAGACATCCGTCGGAACACCACATATAAGAGTAGTTCTGTTAACATTGAACATTGTACTTATACTTCGTATGGAGGTGTACCAGAAGTCTGGGGTACGGCCACCGTTGATATTTTCTACTATTGAACACAGGACCGCCAACAGTATAACGGCACCATCCGACAAAGTGACCGACCGACAAATTGTTTTGTTGTTTTCTGTTGCAGGTTGACTAAGAATGTCTCCGGAAAATACAGCACGATGCTTTAAGAAGTCATCACATTTTGTATTATAAAAATCTGAATCAGAAACCGAGGTCTACCTTCGTGTTAAGCTGACCTCCGACCAACTTGACCTCCTGTGAAACCCAAATACCGGATATACACGTTTGATAACCTAATCACGGCCGTATTGTCTCGGGTAGTCAGACCTGACCTAGTCCTACAGTGATTTAACGGACAGTCCGTGAGTCAACTGACCAGTGGCCGGAGCCACAATAACACTGACCATCACGTCCACTTTCTTTGTTCGGTAAATAAAGCGCAGATAAGACAGGACAAATATTTTTGTAACAAATAAAGATCTGAGAAATTCTTTAGATATAGTGTGGGGAATACACCTTACTAGCCAGTTATCTGCCCGTCTAATAATTTCTGGTGTGATCAGGAACACCAAGTATGTAGACCGCTGTCTCCATATTAGGGAAGTCATTACTACAAACTAGCGACTGGCCGCCGCGACGTTGTAGGTATGTGCGCTGTTACGTCACGCCGCGACGTTGTAGGTCTGTGCGCTGTTACGTCACGCCGCGACGTTGTAGGTATGTGCGCTGTTACGTCACGCCGCGACGTTGTAAGTATGTGCGCTGTTATGTCATGCCGCGACGTTGTAGGTCTGTGCGCTGTTACGTCTCGCCGCGACGCTGTAGGTCTGTGCGCTGTTACGTCACACCGCGACGTTGTAGGTCTGTGCGCTTTTACGTCGTGCTTCGACGTTGTAGTTCCTGGCGCTGTTAAGTCAGATACACATGTGGTGGTTCTAGCTTTGAATCAGGTTAGATGTTTTAGTAGTCGTCCTTGCTCCGTGTTAATACGTAGAGTTATTAACTAGGTGACATTGTGTGGACCCCTCCTTTCCCAACACAAGCTTTCGGATAAACAGGCATGGTTTGTCCTCTCCCTTTCCAAACACAAGCTTTCGGATAAACGGGCATGGTTTGTCTTCTCCCTTGCCAAACACAAGCTTTCGGATAAACGGGCATGGTTTGTCTTCTCCCTTTCCAAACATAAGCTTTCGGATAAACGGGCATGGTTTGCATTCTCCCTTTCCTAGCACAGGGTTTCGGATAAACGGGTCGTGTTTGTCTTCTCTCTTTCCCAGCACAAGTTTTCGGATAAACGGGACATAGTTTGCCTTCTCCCTTTCCCAAAACAAGTTTTCGGATAAACGGGACATGGTCTGCCTTCTTCTTTTCCTAATACGATACTCCGGATAAAAACAGCATGATTCAAATAAGGATACATAAGTTCTATTGAACCTCTTTGCTTGAGGACGTTTTGTGACGTGTTTAAAACGATTTTAATTTGATAAGCAGGCTTTGGAATTCGGATATAAATTAATACTGACAGCAATATTATAACACAATAATTCTTAATAACTGCGCATGTAGCACGAACTTAACAAAAGAGCATGCGTTTTGTTATGAAGTACTTTAAATGCATTTTAGAACCTATCCATTGAAAAATGCTTATTTTAAAGCTTATCTATTGAAAAATGCATATTTCAAAACTTTGTGCATTGGGGTGTAAACTAATTTGGTAGAACGATAACGTTTATCGGTATAAAGAAAGCCGAAATGTTTTATCTTTTTAGTTCTGTAATTGGTCTCTCGAATTTCTTTACAAAGGTTACATAAACAAATAACACTTTCTGTCATCACACAGACGGGCGGTAGCTCGGGGACTCGATATTTAACAAAGAACATTTAGTATTGCATAACATGTCGCCTGTAAGTCCTACAGTAAAAGTCAGAATCATCATTTTAGTGTTAGGTTTCCGGTTCAGACAGTGAAATATCAAACGATACACCACCCTCCCCAAATTCCGTTATATAATTAGAATTCTCAAAAGTACGCCTTCGCCTAACGTGTCACGGTGAGGCTATTTTAGGAAACGTAATGACATAGCGAAATATTGAAATAAATGTTTGGCAAACCATTGGTAGCAGATCACCGATTGATTTGTATATATATATATTTCCACCTGTCGCAGTCGTGGACAGGATACAGCCCCGCCTGTAACAGCTGGTAGGGGACCTGGTTGGGCCCACCAGCATATGGTGTGGGACAATTTATGGCCCTTTCAATAGCGTTATGTGTACTCTCTAGTCCCCTTTCGAGGGGTTGTCCTTGACGGATTAGCAGCCGCAGAAAATTTGAACTCGTCAGCACTTTACGTTTAAATTGATATTCATGAATCGGCATTTGAGATGAATTGATAAATCTCTTGTAATCCCGTGTTCAAACACATATGGCACTTTCTCCCCGACCTTTAGTAGTGTAAGGAACTCGTGACGTCACCCATTTCTACCGACATCCCGCTATGTAAGAATGTGTTTCTTGTGAAAGAGTGTGCTAGGAGTTCGGTATCATTAGCTTTATATGTTTAAAAATCTAACGATTAACACCAAAAATCTTCATAAAATATATAACCAATCGAACCAATATCAGTGTGTTCAATGATTGACAACCGAACAGGTATTTAACATTTGTCAAGCGATAGAAATGTAATTTGATTTTCTTTTTCTAAAACGAGTGCTAAGCTAATATGTGACCCGTAATCTCGAGATTGACTTAGAGCGGGTATTACTGAACCACAAAACACAGGAAGTCGGGGACCAAATAGGCCACAGAAATAGACAGGAATGTGTGAGACGGGGTCCGGCTTATCCCTGTCATCCATGGCTACCCAGTAAAATTAATTGTCTCTTATCATCTACGGAAACCCATAGCGTTGTTCTTATAGTAATAACAGAATCAGGTATCGAAAGTTATATACGGATTGAAAATATCTATCATTTCCTTTCCTACCTTATATATTTGTATTAAATTCTCGACTAAACGATTGCCCTGGTTTGCTTTCTGTTACCTGTGCTGCTGTCTATTGCCCCGTGATTGAAGTCCCGCACAAGTACAGTCTGTCTGTTGTTGTTTATGTTCATATTTCAATCAAATTATCATTCATTATAAATGTGTCATGAACATATAAAATTGCATGATAATCGTTTAATTCTAGTCTGCCGTACACAATACCATAATGATGATTTTGTCTCCGAAAAATCCATGTAATACTATAACATACACTGTCTAACGGACAAAATAAGAGGGCAAAGCAAGTCTTCTTCCATAAGACTGTATCTCCTAAGGACACGAAACTGTAACTACATATCTAGGACACGGCACTTTAAGTAGGGACATAAGACACAGGACTGTAACTGTGGACATATGACACATGGCTGTAATTAGGGACATATCACAGAGGACTGTAACGGTAGACATATGACATAGGACTGTGGACATATGACACATGGCTGTAATTATGGACATACGACACAGGACTGTAACTATGGACATACGACACAGGACTGTAACTGTGGACATATGACACATGACTGTGACTGTGGACATAAGACACAGGACTGTAACTGTGGACTTATGACACAGGACTGTAACTGTGGACTTATGACACAGGACTGTAACTGTGGACATATGACACATGACTGTGACTGTGGACATACGACACAGGACTGTAACTGTGGGCTTACGACACAGGACTGTAACTGTGGACATACGACACAGGACCGTAACTGTGGACATATGACACAGGACTGTAACTGTGGACATAAGACATAGGACTGTAACTGTAGACATATGACACAGGACTGTAACTGTGGACATACGACACATGGCTGTAATTATGGACATACGACACAGGACTGTAACTATGGACATTCGACACAGGACTGTAACTGTGGACATATGACACATGACTGTGACTGTGGACATAAGACACAGGACTGTAACTGTGGACTTATGACACAGGACTGTAACTGTGGACTTATGACACAGGACTGTAACTGTGGACATACGACACAGCACTGTAACTGTGGACATACGACACAGGACTGTAGCTGTGGACATACGACATAGGACTGTAACTGTGGACATACGACACAGGACTGTCACTGTGGACATAAGACACAGGACTGTAACTGTGGACAAACGACACAGGACTGTAACTGTGGACATATGACACATGACTGTGACTGTGGACATAAGACACAGGACTGTAACTATGGACATACGACACAGGACTGTACCTGTGGACATATGACACATGACTGTGACTGTGGACATACGACACAGGACTGTAACTGTGGGCTTACGACACAGGACTGTAACTGTGGACATATGACACATGACTGTAACTGTGGACAGATGGCAAGGGACTGTAACTGTGGGCATAAAACACAGGACGACACAGGACTGTAACTGTGGACATACGACACATGACTGTAACTGTGGACATACGACACAGGACTGTAACCGTCGACATAAGACACAGGACTGTAACTGTGGACATACGACACAGGACTGTAACTGTGGACATATCACACATGACTGTGACTGTGGACAGATGGCAAGGGACTGTAACTGTGGGCATAAAACACAGGACTGTAACTGTGGACATACGACACAGGACTGTAATTGTGGACATAAGACACAGGACTGTCACTGGGGACATAAGGCACAAGACTGTCACTGGGGACATAAGGCACTGGACTTAGGGACAGGAGTGAAAGTGTAACTATGGTACCGCTACAACAGAGGGACATACGACACAGGACTGTAATTGTGGACATAGGACACAGGACTGTAACTGTGGACGTATGACACAGGACTGTAACTGTGGGCGTAAGACACAGGGCTGTGACTGTGGACATAAGACACAGGACTGGAACTGTGGACATACGACACAGGACTGGAACTGTGGACATACGACACAGGACTATGACTGTGGACAGATGGCAAGGGACTGTAACTGTGGGAATAAAACACAGGACTGTAACTGTGGACACACGACACAGGACTGTAATTGTGGGAATAAGACACAGGACTGTAACTGTCGACATAAGACACAGGACTGTAACTGGGGACATACGACACAGGACTGTAACTATGGACATATCACACATGACTGTGACTGTGGACAGATGGCAAGGGACTGTAACTGTGGGAATAAAACACAGGACTGTAACTGTTGACATACGACACAGGACTGTAATTGTGGACATAATACACAGGACTGTAATTGTGGACATAGGACACAGGAATGTAACTGTGGACATAAGACAAAGGACTGTAACTGTGGACATAAGGCACTGGACTGTAACGGTGGGAATAAGACACAGGACTGTAATTGTGGACATAGGACACAGGAATGTAACTGTGGACATAAGACAAAGGACTGTAACTGTGGACATAAGGCACTGGACTGTAACTGTGGACATACGACCCAGGACTGTAACTGTGGACATAAGGCACTGGACTGTAACGGTGGGAATAAGACACAGGACTGTAACTGTGAACATACGACACAGGACTGTAACTGTGCACATATGACACATGAATGTAAATGTGGACATACGACACAGGACTGTAACTGTGGACTTAAGACACAGGGCTGTAACTGTGGACATAAGACACATGGCTGTAATTATGGACATACGACACAGGACTGTAATTGTGGACATAAGACACAGGACTGTCACTGGGGACATAAGGCACTGGACTTAGGGACAGGAGTGAAAGTGTAACTATGGTACCGCTACAACAGAGAAAGGAATACATTATGAAAACGTCCGATGTTCGTTTTGTTTGTAAAACATCTAGTGTCTATTTCCATCACTGTATACATTGTATATAAATGACACAATATTTTCATTATAAAGGAATATATATCGTTATATGACAAGTAACTTTGATCGGTGTATCCGTTAATACTCATTACAGCCCTGTGCGATAAAAAGAAAGGCTTGACTAAAATATAGAGTCGGAGTGTGTTTTTTTTTAATGAAATTCCACCTTTTATCTGCAGTGTTAACACGAAAACTGTTTTTGTGTTGGGCTGTGATGATCGCTGGTTGTCTGTCCTACTTACGACTGGGACCTGCAGGCGAGACGACTAATTAACATGTAAGCAATGGCAGGAATGCAGGTACACATGTATACACGACGTCACCCAATCTCGTAAAAGTTGGGGATCTGTCTAGTAACGGGCGTCTCCGCATGTCTTTAATATTTCAATCTTAAACACATTTACTGCTTCCATCAGTGTTAAAGGCGCTTTACGAACCTTTGTGGATAAAGTTTTATCCTTGGATCCCAGAAACGAAATATTCTATTTCAAATTAAACATTATTAACTTTTCTATGATTAAACGCCAGAAAATTCTTGCGTTCCACAGATATAATCTTTTAAAAAATGAAAAATCAGCTTTGTTCTATCTGAAAAAAACTTAAAGGTGCCGACTCGAATTAATGCTACGTATGTAGTTGTCGGATGCGCATGTCCATAACATACGCAAGTCTTGTTCGAAACACACAAAACTAGTATTTCAACTTATATGTATTTAATCTATGGCACGCACATTAATGTCACGACTTTCCAAACGTTTAATTAGAGAATCTTTGGGTCTATAAAGTTTCAAGAAGAAACCCAAGAAATTTTAATTGAAAAAACGCTAGAAATTTAAATTTAAAACAATTAAGGAGAAAAATAGTTTCCCGATTAACAATGATGTAATTGTATTATCAACAATGATTTCACGGAATGCATTTCATTATAAACTATCATTTGATCGAGCGAGACGGACTTGTCCTGTCGTGGAAGGCCGTGTACAAGGTCACTTGTTCGGTCACGTTACTTTTTTGTTTCACATTTTTTTTGCTTTTTAGATTTTGATATTTACTACATCATTGTTTTGTTATGTTTCAATCAATAAATCTATCAACGGTACAGGTGTTTTTGCTTTAATAAGGTCTACAAGTTCTACCTATTGTTCCGCTTGTGTAGATGTTCTTGATTGGACGACACCGTAAGCATGTATAGGCGAATTTGTGTAAGAGTGAAGGTTTGCATTCTCAAAATGTTATGAAAAGTTTCGTAAAAGTATTTTAAAATGTAGTGTTACAATGATACAAATATACTGCTAAATTGATACTTAAAAATAATCATATGTATATATATATACAAAACTATCGTGTTAGATTTTTGTACCAGAAAATACAGTGTATCGTGTTACAATTATCATAAAATTATCGTGTTAGATTTTTACAAAAATGTCGTGTTAAAATGAATACCGAAATATTGCAAAGTTACAAAAGTGTAGTATACAATTTGTTGATTGAATACCGTGTCTAAAAAACTAGTAAAATGTGTACAAATGTATTTGTATATTGATACACAAAAAGTCTACTTTATACAAAGTTAAGTGTGAAATCCCTCTACCAAAATCATGGTGTAAAATTTATACTTAAGTGCATAGGGTTAAACTGTTTTTTTCCCAAAATGTCTTGTTGGTATATATTCTAAAAATAGAGTAAAATGTAAACAAAAAATATCCTGAGTTTTAGCGTTAAACTGATAAAAGAAAATAGGGTGTGAAATCGATAAAGAAAGCATAATACTGACTGTATACAAAACATACGTTTGATGAGTCGTTGTTTGTATCGTTGAATATATGATAGATCAATGAGTGCAATAAAACATCTTGGAATGCTTGTAGTGTTGTATAATGAAACAAACGAGAATAACTCTAATAAATATTGTCAGTATTATATTTGTCATCTTTACCTGTTGCAATATACTTTTGTGTAGTATAGTTGTCATTGATTGCTTTTTAAGACCATTTATAGATAAATGTGTTTGTAGGCATCTTGCTGAATAATTGAAATGTCTATTGGTGTTCTTATTCCATTTTGATTATATAGTCCAAAGATAAAAGTCTCCTTATTGTAAGCAAAAGGGATCATTAAAGCATCTAATAAAAACTCAAAATTTTGTAACATAACCTGCACCTTATCACATTCCCATAGGGTATGTTCTATTGTTTCAATATCAGTTTTACACGAGTTACAATAAGGACTATCAGCTATTCCTGCCTTAAATCAAAATGAGTTTGTGCTGTTTATAAAGTGTATATTGTTTTTATCCAAAATAAAGTGGAAATTTTATACCAAAATAAAGTGTTAAATTGTTTCCAAAACATGGTGTTTACTATTTACAACACCATACTCCTAATGTAGTGATAACCTTTTACCAAAATGTAGTGTTCAAATGGGATAACTAGGAAACACTAGCGGGCCTGATGAAAATTCACTGAGGCCAAAAGGTTTGTCATAAGTGTCTTGTGATAGAAAGTAAACACATTTTGACGACATGCTTTGAAAAGATTATTTATTTCAGCATCCAGTCAACAACACTACAACTATTCTAGGCGTCAAATCTTTGTTCAAGATGCTGTCTCCAGATTCATTCAAATGCACCTACATTTGAGGAAAATGACTTCATCCACGAGTAAGATTGTATACATTATATGCTTCTGTTTGTATTGTTGTGTTAATTGTTACCATCACATTATATTGTGATTACAAACGTGCCAATAAACATTGAAATTCGTATCTGAATGTGTTGGCGCTGCCACGTTGTCCGTTGCTCCAGCGAGTACAGTTTAATCCCCTCCTATTTGAAGAGTTCCACTAGTCGCGATATCATCTATTGAATTGACCAAAATGAAAGGGTTGGAGATCAGACGTTGTTGTCATACCACTTGACTGATTGTAGCCAACCACCAACAGTAATGTACAGATGTATTAATATTCGAGACGATTCGACATTAATGACGCTCGTTTACTGAAATAGGCGATATTACACCCTTACTTAATGATTTTTCCTCGACATATAAATAAACTAATCCAATGACAACAAAAACGAATATGTTTGATGATTAAAATGTTTTCAAATGAATGTCTCATTTATTACGTGTTCATGATTTGCATGGAGTTTGGCCTCGGTAACACTGCTCCTGATCTTCTGGACGCGTTTGGGTCTTTATTTAGACGACACGGATTCGGAGGATTCGGAGCAGAGACAGTGTTTTGTTACTATCGTTCGATTGGTCATTTTCCACCAAATGAAAGCAGAATTTAACTACCTAGCAGTTTCGAGCTTTTAGGTCAAGGTCGCCGCACTAAGACCATGCTCTAATGAGAAGCATATATCCGTTTTCCGTATCAGACATTGTTCCCGTCCATCCGCTATAGTGTAACTATACTATATACTATTGTATGGATTACTTCCTTGTCAATGTGATGACTTTTTAACTCCAAATTTGGTATAAACTGTAAACAAATCGTTGTTAACAGTTTGATCCGCTGAATCCAATAATGTCTGTCCGTATTACTGATATGAAAGCAGAATGGGCGTTGTATTCTGTACACACTTGTTGGTCACACGAAAAGACCCAAATCGTCCTACTGCCCCCGTTACAATATTTGGTATCTCTTTGCTTTGTTTTCTTTGTCACCAAATCTAATTTTGGTGTCTCCCTAGGCAGCAAGTTATCAGAACGATGGGACCAGATGAAATGGTTACTGACTATGGCATTGCAGCGAGATAAAACATTGACGTGGACCTAGAGACGCACTCGTCATGTGACCTTTGCTGTTTCAAGGATGTAAAACCCCTCGACTAATAAACGATTCCATCCGGAATGGGTTAGTGGTTTTTTCGTGTCTATCACGGAACTGAACAAAAGTAACGCATTGAAATCACTCCAGGGTTTGACACGTTCGTCGTCGTAAACGGTGCGAGTTTTGCCTGGACGGGTTTATCAATGAAACCTATGTCTGTATTGAACCGTAAATGCGGTAATGGTACTACATCTCGCTCATTTGCACATTTACATCATACGGTCAGCCTGAACAGTGTGTGAACTTGGGGTGTCCCGGAGACCGGTGCTTACCCAGAGAACGGAGGGTGCTGTAATGACCGGATCCTAGTGTTAATCCCCTAGATATGCTGACGAGAGATCATTGAATCTAAAGTGGAGTCTGCTTAATAATTATTTATATGCCCTTCAATATTTACAAACCCGAGCGTGAGAAATACAATTATTAGACATTATCATGTGTGTATATAGTGACTATCTCCTTGCCCGTTGATTCGTGTATATGATATATATGGTTTGCACTTTTGGAACAATGCCCGAACTTCTCTCTTACCGCTCAGCAGACTGATGGTACTTCCGGTTTGTTGCTCGTATGACGTGCATGTCTCCTTGAGAACAAGTCCTACCGGCTACAGACTGACTGATTGTCAGCACCGACTTCCGTCTAGCCGCCATTATAGGCAACACGTCATCATTCCGGCACAGTAGCCACAACCGGAAGTAACTATGCAGATACGCCCTATTTCTAGGTCAAATATCTATTTATAAATGTATAAGATAGGGTTAACATATCATGAGATATAAAATACACAGACAATTTGAACACATCATATTTCTGAGTAAAAAGATTTTAGCAAATATAAGTGTTTACTTAATCTCACAAGTACTTCACGATCACTAAAGTGCCCTATTACAACCAAACATATTTAAATACAATCGTCAACGGCCACTCGTTAAACTGTAGGTGACATTAGTTCATAACTGACTTAAAATACCCCAAACATACGGTATGTATGCATCAATATAAAGTTAAATTCCATCTCGTCATATTAATGTGTGCCGAGGAATCTGGGTGACAGGTGTTTA